CTGATAAGGGAGGGGGAGCGGCTGCTGCTGCTGCTGCTGCTGCTGCTGCTGAGGTTGAAAAGAAAGGGGTTGAGAGCAATGTTTTCTGTCACAACAATGAGATGGAAAACTTGCATGGATTGCTTCCTTCTGATGCAGAACTTGCTGAGTTTGCTGCTGATGTTGAGAGCTTGTTGGGTAGGGGACTTGAAAACGAGTGCGTGGGGATGGAGGTGCTGGGGCTGGTGGATGCGAAAGAGGAGTGTTGGGTGAAGGTAGAAGAGGAAGAGGAAGAGGAAGAGGAAGAGCATGGTGCAGTGGAGATGGAGATGGAGATGGTGGGTGGAAGAGATGAATCGTTTGAGTTGAGCTTTGATTATGAAATGTGTGAAGAGGTGAATGAGAAGGAAGATGAGGAGGAGAAAAGGAAGAAGAAGAAGATATCGTTGCAGCTAGATTATGAGGGGGTAATCATCGCTTGGCCTAGTCAGAAGTCTCCTTGGACCACTGCTCACAGGCCTAACTTGGACCCTGATCAGTGCTGGCACGAATGCATGGTATTATTTACTATTCCCTTCTCAATTTTCATATTTATTACCCACTTTTTGTGATTTTCAAGCTAGAAAATAATGTGTCGGTGAATATTGCTGTCATTTTCTTTGGTAAAAGTAAAAAAATAGAAAGTACACTTGGTAAGTATTTTACTAGTTTTAGATGAAGACTAAAAAGAAAAAGAATTAAAAATAAATAAAAATTCTTTGTATTTGATTTATTTTGAATGAATTTAAAATTGAAAGTTTAGTGTGAGTAATGTAAGTTATGAATTAAGCAGGGAGGTTGTGGAACGGCAGTGGATAATCCTTATGGTGAAATGGGAATGGGAGGGTTTGGAATTCATCCAGTAATAATGGACGGAGGGAGAGAGGCAAGGGTGTCAAGGTACAGAGAGAAGCGCCGCACAAGGTTGTTCTCCAAGAAAATAAGGTACGAGGTTAGGAAATTGAATGCAGAGAAGAGACCCAGAATGAAGGGCAGGTTTGTCAAGAGGGCCTCCTTTGCACCACCCACATTTCCTTTGCTAAATAAATAACCCTTTTCTTAATATTCTTCTTAATCTCAACTTTTCTTCCTATCCTATATTTTTCTACGTCCTATGCATGCCTTTTCTTTTTCTTTTTCTTTTTCTTTTTCTTTTTATTTCTTTCTATATAACAATTTTTTTTAGTTAATCAAATACTCCCAATTTCTAATCATCTCATAAATAACTAATATAACCATTTTTGTCATCTATACGATTATTTTAATTTCCGATACAATTCCTCGATTCATATACGCTTGGTTTAATGTGTTTGGTTAAAAGGAAATAAGGAATAATAAATAGTACCATTCGTATACACTTTCGGAACATTACTTATCATGTAAAATTTAATTAATTAAATTGATATTTAATCAATTAAACTTCGTTTTTTTTAATAACTTTTACAAAGGACACTACTTTTATACCGAGAACTTAATCGATTAAATTTTTTTATATTCGATTAAAATAAAAATAATTTTTTAAAATTTATTTAATTTTTTTTATACAACATTACAAGTAAACTTTAAATTTAGTAATGTTATATAAAAATAATTAAAATTTTTATAGTACAAGTTTTTTTTTTTGAACTACACAAACTAATAAGTAATAATTTAAAATTCAAAAGATTAAAAGTGTTTTTTTTTTCTAAATTTTTAAAAGAAAAAAAATAATATACAACTATACAAGGAATCTTTTGGAAGAGTGTGAGTTGGCATGTTTTTTGGTCCTTTGTGGAAAATATCTGGCCGAATGGCAGACACCGTTAGAGAGCAAGATCTCTCATTTTTCCCATTCTCATGACAACTTTTTTCCTAATTACATTTGAAGACTCTAAAATTTTATACACCCCATGGCCATCCATCATTTATTTGCATCTCTTTCCCAAAATGCACATTCAATGTTCATTTTGTACATTTTTTAGCCCACATAACAGCAACCCAAATGAGATTCGACGCTACAAGAAAGAGAGACCGTGCGTAAACTTGTGAAAATGCAAGGTAGCAGAAAAAGGAAACAAGGAGAAATTTTGTTTGAAGAAGATAAAGTGATGTTTGTGAAGCGGGCGTGAAGAACGTCTTTATTTTTGGGCTACAAAAGTTTCTTTTTCCCTAACACGCTTAACCATAAACATTAAAAAACAAAGAATTGTGAATGAGCTGGATCTTGACTTAGCTTCAGCGATTTGGACTTTTTAAAGCCTATAACATGTTAGGCTCAAATTAGTAAAGGCTAAGAACAACTTTTAGCTTTATAAAAATTAATTAAAAATGTAATTAAGATAATAATAATAATTTAGTTTCATTACGAAAATTGGTTAGTATTATTTAATTACATCGATTTTATTTTTTAAAAAAAATTATGAATTACCCATCATTGAAATTTGGTAAAAATATTGTAAATATGGTGAAATTAAATAAGATCAAATTAATTGATTTTTTTATATTTGAAATCAATACAAGTGGTTTTTTTTTATATTCGAGATCAAACACTTTATGTCTCCAACTTTTTTGCAAAAATGATGTAACATTTTAGAGAAAAAAAATTCTAATTGATATATATATATATATATAATTTAATATGAAGAAATTCGTACGAATAGAAGACGAACTATGTGTTAACTTGTAATAGGACAAATATTAATTGATGTTACTAAAATGTTTAAACAAAAAAAGTTTGATGAAGAGACTCGTCTTACTTATTTTGGTCTTTTTCCTACTTTTAGTTCCAATGTATTATTGTCTGTCTAATGATAAGCCATCTTATCATTTGTCATATACTCATTGCTGAATTCTTTGTACTAAATGGTAAAATTGCCAAATTAATTCATATTTCGTATACAATTACAGCAAAGCTACATGCGACTTGCATAACATTTTATAATAGAAAAAAATATACACATTCGATGCACATATTCAAACACCTAATTACTATTAACCAATTCATTGATCGAAATGTCGTGAAAATCTTCCAGCTTAATTGGTGTTTGGAATCTTAAATATATAATTGTTAAATATATTAACAAATAAATTTTGTTATTTATAATAATTTTACCATTCAAACAAGATTGTCTTTCATAAATAAATAAATAAGTAAATAAATAATATATATATATATATATGTGTGTAATCTTAAAATAAAAGAACTCCAAGTGTGTGGTTTAGGGGTTGATCCACGCTTAAGCAAGGTCAGGGGTTCGAATTTTGCCTTGTGTATGCAACCGCGTTAAATATTGGGGCCAGTTATCCCACCATTTGCTGTATTTGAAACTTCAAACATGACTTGTATTAAAAAAATGGCTAAAAAGGACGGATAAAAAACAATTACAAATAATATAATATTTGTTTCACACCCTTACCAAAAGCCCCTCCCAACATATACATTGTCCTGTATCTGTATACCAATGTTTTCTTTTATTTTATTTTTCTGCACGAAATAAATGAATAAAAAAGTTTAAAAAAAGAAAAATTAAACAGGCAAAATTATTAGTTTGTTTTATTGGCACTGGTTGATTGGCAACGAAAGCCAAGAGTTAGTTCCAAGTTTAACTCCGTTTCACCGACTCGATTCAAGTCGTCTCGACTCACAAAAGAAGCTTCCATGACCCTCATTCTCTTACTCTCACAATTGGGTTGCCGCAACGAAGTCGAGTCCACCGTACTCACTCGCGGTTTGGGCTTAACAACTGGCCCAACTCTTTTAAGCCCAGCTTTAACTCTCACATCATCAACAATTTTAACTTTCGGCACATGACGTATGTCACACGTTGGGAGAATGTGATCACCACCGAGTGTCCCTAAGGTTTGTGAATTAGAAGGTGCCACACCATTGATTTGGGATCCACTCAGCACTGCTTCAACTGCTGCTTCGCATTGGGCCCACTCACCGGTCCAAAACAAACCTAACGACCCATAAGTAGGATTCACTAATCTCCCACATGCCTCATACAATAATGACCTGAACACAACTGAAAAATGGGGAAAAAAACATTAATTATACTTTTTAATAGTGTATGAAATGTAATTATCTTATTATTATTTGATGTACGAAAACATTCAGCTTGCATGATGGTAGGAGAATAAGTTATAAAAAAAAATGTTAATAGTATAGTACCTGGGCCAAGGTGTTGCGGAGCAGCCATGAGGAGGTTGAGTAAGCCCGTACGACCATAGAATTTGGCAAGGAAAAGGGTGGCATTGGCTTGGGCCTCAGAGGAGTTAATCCACTCAAGGCAAGGCCTAAGGATGCAATTCTCATTGCAACCTTTGCGAAGTATGCGACACCCATTGCAACTCAATTTCATGGTGATGGTGGATATGTTGTAGATTCTGTATGATGATGGGCTTGTATGGAAGAAAGTTGAGTAACTGTGGTATTTATTAGAGCATTGGTCAACGCATAAAAGATCCTGTAATCTATAATATGATCTTCAGCTCATTTTAATTAATGCACATGATTTGTTTTGTTAAGTGTATATATGGTTATGCGAAAAAGATTTGGTTGTATTGGATTTCATCTTAACCTTGTTTGCAAAAGTAAATTACAAGTGGTATCAACATCATCGGAGATGGATTTTGATGTTGGAAAATATATTAATGAGAAATATTAGCATTTAGCAACACACTTTTGACATATAAAATTATTAGGCGGTCATTAACAACATATAGTTTATATATAACTTAAATATTAAGTATTATTAATTTTTCTCTTAAATTGATAAATTTAAATATTATTATGTAGAGATTCAAACTATAAATACTTAATTTCACAATTCACACGTTTTCTTAAACACACATTCTTTATTAATTGAATTTAATTCAGAACCAATTTCTTTTCACATATCTTATTTAATGTTTATTTCTGTTGATTCTGTGAATCAATTTCAATGTATTTAATGTATTGCTATCCCCGTATAAATGTGTGGCTTGGATAACATAGGAAAGAAAATGTGTTGGTAAAAGTCACGTAAAATTGGATAAGAAAAAGTGGTCAAACATGCGGATTATAGGCATAAACACGTGTAAAAAGGTAATAATAAACAACATAAAACCCCCCTCAAATGGGGATACTTTTCGTTGTCCCCTTTCCCATATCTCCAATATCAAATCACTGGGTTGATTTGTTTCCTTTAAAAGTGATTTGATATCGAGAAACTGTGGGCGTCTGCGTTGGTAAAATACTTGTCCATGGTTTTCAATGTACTATTACTAATATCCATCTATCGTGTATACAACAACAACAATATTTTCATGTTATTTTTACATAACTTTTATGGTTTAAATTAAGAGAATAAGAGATGATATATATATATATATATATATATATATATATATATATATATATATGATAAAACTATAATATAATTTAACTTCACCACTAGATCAATTTTGATGATTCAAATTAACCAATAATATATAATTTAAGCATAAGTTTAATTTCAATTTAAACTATATAAAATTTGATATTATTTCACCTTACACAATGATATAAAATTAACACATTTTATTTGAAATTAAAAGTTAGTTTATTTATGCACAAATACTTAACATTAAAAGTTATTTATGATCACATGACCCATTAAAAAATGTACATGCAATTGCGATTTAATCTTGACTGTCCGTTTTGTTTATCACAATAACAATACGCTGCTTATGCATATGTTTATTATGTAGATGTTTAGAGGATATTATCTCACATGCATGTCACACTTATGCTTCTTTAATTAATATATTAGCTTTTGTAGTTAAAAAAAACATTTAAAGTATGTTATGGGAAATTTAAATGAAGAATTTTATTTTATTTTTAAAAGAATTTTAAATGTCTTTAAATAAAATGTTTACTTTGAATAAAAAATTTATAAAAAAAATTAAATTTAAACATCTATAAAATTCATTAAAATATTATAATTTCAAACTTTCTCAAAAAAAAATAAGAATCTGTAATTTTTTTATATTTTTTTTTCTTTCTTATCTTACCTATATATTTTTTTATCTCTCTTATTTTTTAATTATTAAATATTTAAAAATATTTTTTAAAGTATTAAATATCATGTAATATTAATTTTTAAAAATTATTAAATATTTAAATTGATATTTATTTCTATAAAATTTAATCTTAAAAATTCAATAAATATACATATAACCAATTTTATCCATAAGAAAAATCAAATTATCATATCTAAACTAAAATTTTAAAATTTAACATTGAATTGAGTTATCTAAATAAAATATTTAAAAATTAATAAAAAAAAATTAAAATTAAAATAATTCAAATTTCAATAATTTTTAAAAAAATTTCATCCAAACACATCATTGTAATTATTTAATGAAAATCTGTTTTTTAAAAGTACTTTTTCTTACTATAACTTTTATCATTATTTTAAACCGATTTTAAATAGGTTAAAATATTTTATTTAACTTTTATAATTTTACTTCTTTTTTATCTTTTAGTCTTATAATTTAAAATATAAATTTTTTTTAGTATTTGTATATATCTTTCTTAATCATTTTTAGCTTTTATAGTTTAAGGTAGATCTTCTAAGTCTTTATACTTTAATTTTTCAGTCTCATTAATTTATTTGTGATGTCTCTTTTGTATTAGTTTGACAAATGTATTTAACTATATATTTTTGGTGTTGAATTTATTTTGTTGGATTTATCTTATATTAGATCCTTTGACATTTTGTGTCTCTTTTTTACTCTTACTTACAACACTACTTTTTGAGAAATCGTAAACCATTACTACATAAACATAAAAGAACGTTACAAAAACATTAACATTATTAAGTTAAGGAATGAAAATATTAAAAAAGACAAGTATGAAAACCATAAAAAAAAAATATCTTAAATTATAGAGATTAAAAAATATTAATAAAAATAAATAAAAGGACTAAAAATGTTTATTTTAAATTATAAAGATTAAAAGGTAAAATAAGTAAAATTATAAAAATTTAAAAAAATAAACCTTTCAAATATTTGTTAATTATGTTTTCTCATTCATTAATTATGATATTTTTAAAAGAATAAATTAATATTTTAGTTGGAATTTACCAAAAGAAAATACTTTGGTTAAAAGTTTTAAAATAAAGAGTGTACATTTTTTTATATCAAGAGGAAACATTACAACAATAATAATGAAAATACCACCTACCCCAATGGTTCAACTAATAAGTTAAATTTTAATATCAGCAATAACGTTAAATGTTAACTATTTGCAGACGATCATATTAAAAAAAAAACATTTTTGTTTTGAAATTCTTCGTAATTTTAATTCCACAATGCTTTATTTGAATTTTTTTTTCTTCATTTAGTGATTGTTCTCTTGACAATTCCTTTTAAAGTTGTTTTTATTATTTGTGTAAAAGAGATTTTGGTGATGGAGATTTTATGTCAAATATAATTTATATGACATAAAGAATAATGTCACGACAAAGTTGTAAATATGGAAGAAAATAAATTATGGTGAGTATTGTTGATTCACTCATTATACAAAGTTTATTTTTTTATATTAGATGAATTTATATCCATCATAGAATGTATTGGAGAAAGTCAATTTTATAGTTTATCCCAATTTTTTTATGATATTATTATTTGCGGTGAAATTCGTGAGTCCATTTTGTTCGAACTAGCAAAGTTTTCAATTTAGGTATGTGGTAACTTAGAATTATATACTAGCCTTAATGTATAAAAGATGAGTAATCACAATGAAACAAATCTATAAAGATGGTTTAGATCTCATTCCATATAATTAGCATGCACAGATTTCCAATTATTCATCAATAGTTATTACAAAATAGGTTTCATGTATGCAAACATTTAGATGAATTGAATGGACAACATATATATTGATAATAAAAATCATGACAAATTTACTTCCAATAATTGTTGGATTACAAACATAATGATCCTGATAAGCAAAGGAACTATAAAACTACACTATACTAAGCTAAGCTAAGATAGTCCTAAGAAAAGAAAAGAAAAAAGGTGTGGCCAAGAAGTCATACCTAGCAATCTCATACATAGGAGCCATATGTACAAGCAGTGAGTACTTGTGAAAGTTCTCAAGTATGATTTTCCGACCACTTGAAATGAGATTGTCTCACCTATTTATAGAGGTTAATTCGGGGCAGTTAATTCCATATGGGCTCGACGTGGTATGCGTAACCGCTATCCATTACACAACTTGAGTAACCGTTTTTAACTTCTGATAACCACCTACTGCATGCCTTGACCTTCGAATGCTTTCCTCAAGCAATAGTTAGTTCTTGTTACCTCCCTTGGTGTATAACTACCCTGATGTTCACTTGTTTGCGAATAACTCCCTTAAACTGCTCCTAACTATTTGAGTCATCACTAGTGGCAATTCCCTTTTCTCAATTTGTCGAATTAACCTTTTAAGAACCTTTCGATTTGTCGAACTGCTTCCTTGCTTGAGCATAATTCAAGAGTTTTCCTCTACTTGATAGGTCATGGTTGTGACAATTTCTCGATACTAATGCATTCTCGATTTGTCTGTCGAGTATTATCGAAATTGAGTTCTTCGAGTAACAGATATGTATAATAATACCTGACATAGAAAAATTATGACAAGTAAAACAACACTTAACATAAAAAAAATGATTTAAAATTTCTAAAAATGTAATTCACGTTTTTTAACTTTAGATTATCGTTTCTAATTTTGTTACCTTTCATTTTCTATGTTCTTATCTTCCCCATACATTCAAGTAATTTATTTTTTTTTTACTTTTATTTTCATTTTGTGTTTTCTGTTTCTAGTATTGTTACGTTTCCATTTTCTTTTGCTTTGATAGTGTGGTGATTTGGGAGCAAACATGATGGTGAAAATAACAAAAATAAAAGTGGTGATGGCAAAATGCAAAAATTCACAAACAAGAAAGGAAGAAAATGACGGAAAATCTTGAAGGGATCCAACGAGAAGAGGGAAAGAACACAACAACGGGATGCAAAGAGAAAAAAATTGCATAGTGACAAAATGCGAAGAAATGGTAATAAAAAAGGAGTACGATCCTAGAATGTGAATACTATGTCAAGAAAAAAACACGATAATTAAATAACTGCTAATCTAAAATATAAGATTTTTATGTTGATTATTTTTATAAATGATATAGAAAGTTAAATTTTTTTATGTCACTCTTTATCATTATTATTATAATTTTTATTGATGAAAAAATGTTTATCTAGATTTTTTTAATATATTTTTTAAGAAATAATTTCTATCTAGTTTTTAAAAATTTAAATTTTAAAATAACTTTTTACGGAAACATTGGTCTCAATTTGTTTTTTC